TTTGTTTTTATGTTTCTCTGCCTGCAATGGAAGGGTGTCTCTAAACAAAAGAGGCAGAGTAATCGAGGAACTTCTTTTAAGGAAAAATTGCCTAAGGAAATCGGCCTTTTCCCACTGTATCTCTGTGTCTTTGTACACCTCTCCTTCTGCCCACACTGCCTTTTTTTTCCTTTGTTCTTTGCTCTTCCCCCAAGAAAATAGCAATAATAAAATATTCTATTTTCATGTGGCTCTACAGGTGATCTTTGTGTACTTAACCAGACCACAGCATAGAAAACAAAGCCTTGCTTATTTCCTAACAGCATATATATGTTTTATGATTGGGGCTGATAATAGATAGGAAGATCAAAGTCTTCTGTGAATTGACAGCAGCACTGTAAACAAGGTGAAAGGGTTGCAGGTGTTTCCCACATGGATGTTATACAAAAACATATGGCCCTTTGCCATGAGGTACTGTGTGTGCTCTCCACTTTTCCTGTGCAACAAGGCCACGTTGCTGTGAGCTTTGCTCAGGGGGCACAGCCAGGAGCTGGGAGATGCTGAGGGCAGCAGATTGACCATGCAGTGTGGCCAGGATGGTCTTGGGAGCATGGAAACGCTGATGCTAAATTGGTCTTTCAAGTTAAAAGCAGCTGATTTTGATCCGAGAACAGAAATCTGCATTCTGGGGGCTCTCTGTCAAACACTGGGAAGGAAAATGATCACTGAAGTGTTTCAGGAGGGACTGGGCAGTCCAGTGTGCCCCTTGTCTCATCACTCCTATTTCAGCTCAGAGCTGGGCTTGGCAGGCATCTCTTACTTCCATGGGTTATCTTCTGTGGCCCTGGCCATGGCAGGCACTGGGCGTGGGGTTGAGACACCTAAGTCATACCTCTGCAGAGAGCAATGGTGGTGCATGAGCAAACCTGCAGATATCATTGCTGGATTGCTGTTTATTCTTGTGGATAAAAGAAAAGATGTGTTTAGTGAATGACTGAATCATTGTAAAGAGGACTGCAACGTCCTGGGTGACCCCTGAACACAAGGCAGTCATCTCTGTCTGTCTCATGAATTGCCTTAAGAGGGGTGCTTGTCTGCTCTGAGGAGTGAAACTGCTGCAGCTGGGTGTGCAGGGTGTTTGTAGCCTCTTCAGTTACTGAAACACTTCTGATGAAGTTTGGCTTATTTTGTTCAATGCTCTGTGACATAACCACATCCTTGACCTGCAAGCCCTTTGGCAATCTCTACTTTTTTTTGCAGCTTCTGGGAACAGACCTGTGCTCTCTGCTGAATGCTTGTGACAGCCTTTTGCCAGGCCATGCTGGGGATGATGTGGCACGAGGGGGCTGCATGTGCACCAGCAGCCTGCTGGGACAGTGGCTCCTCATCCACATTTTCATCTGCTGGAGCAAGCTCACACTGTACTTGAGCTGTTTATGTACTGGTATCAGGTCTTTCCTGCCTCACCTTCCAATGGAGCTAAAGCTACTGGTCTAAAATGCAAAGTTCTTTTGCTGTTCTGGAGGGCTGCAGTTTAAACTGAAATATAATAGAAATCGCCCCAGCAGCATAACTTAATTAAGCAATGCCTCGTCTACACAGGAAAATTTGCTTCCATGTGTTGGTCATGAAATTTATTTTTGCTGGTGTGGCAGAGTTACAGCTGATTTCCATGAGGACAGAGTTGCATCTCCCCAAGGGTGTCATGGTACATGCATGAATTCTTGCTTCTCTGCAGGAGCAGGCTAGATATTCTCAAGTATTTGTTTTCCACCCTAAAAACCCTAGATGAAAATATTATAAAGTGTTGGGTCAAGCAGTGTGGTGGTACTGTAGCTAAAGGTAGGACTTCAGTGAATGAGCCCTGTGGAAAGATTAACCTAGGAAAGGTTAATAAAAAGTGCTGTCCTAAATTATTCATGAATCCATTTGCAGTGTACTTGGCCAGAGGCTTTTGTTTTTCTCAAACTCTTATTTATTAAAATCTGACAAGAATATCAGGTTTTGTTCAATAATAAATCTAAGTCTATGTGGGACTAGTGATATCCTCATCCAGTAATACAGAATCAAAATGAAGTTACATGGCAGGAGTGAATATGTTATTTACTTGGGAAGAATAGATTATTGTTCAGGAGGATTTTATCTTTTACTTGCTATTTTGAAACAAGTGAAAAAAATCCAAAACACCTAGTTGGGAGATAGCCTCTTGTTTTGTGATTGAGGCCTTGATCCTGCAAAGGATTTAAAATATATTAAAACTCAGTTAAGCATCTTTCTGGCAGCTTTTCAGGTTCCAAGCCTGTGTTTGCTGAATGAAATAGCTCAGGTGATTTTGTATCACAGTTAGTTTTACTTGTCCTTTTTCCTTAACTTCAGGGAAAGGCCATGGAAGTAATGCCTTTGGCTTATGGATTTTGACTTCCAAAGTATGCTCATACACAGACTCATCTTTTTGTGTCCCAGAAAAGGTTAGAAAGATTGTATACAGAAAGTAGGAGAATGAAAAAAAGGCAGGAAGAGAGCTTTTGCTGTTTGAGATCCAATAATGTGTGTGCTTTATAGCAGTCATTCCTTAAAAAAAAGGCAGAACTTAGTTTAAAAATCAATTTAAGTAGTTTGTTGTTTGTTTTTTTCCCCTAGCATTTTCAATCTATTAGTTGTAGGGGATTTTTCCCCCCTTCTTTTCCTTCTCTGCCCTAATTTATAACTGCATAAAGAAAGAAGAAGCAGGTGCCTATAGCTAGAAAGTTAGTGAAGAGTAAATAAAAAAGAGCTTAGCTGTGGAAACAGAACTGGGAGTTTGGGTGACTGGTCTGAGTTGGAGGATGATGAATAGATTTTGTTTGCGTAAGCTTGGCTTGTGAGTCACTTTCTCATAAAAACAGCTTGAGTAGGAGATGCTCCTGTCCCAAATTTTTAGTCCTGAATGCTTTCAAGCACAAAGTGCACTGTGACATAAAGACTCCTGCTGTGAGTAGCGTCCTGTAATCCCAGTGGACAGGAGCTGGAGCTTTGCAATTTCCCAGGTTTGAAATAAACTGGAATTGTGTCTCTCTTACTCACACATGCTTTGCCTGATGTATTGTGAGGTGCCCCTTGCTGGTCAGAGTTAAGCTGTCTGGGTAGACATAACCAGTTTCTGATTCAGATTTGGAATCTGATGTCAGGAAGTTGGTCCCTATGAAAAGCTGTTTGTTGCAGGACTATCAGTCACTAACCAATAAACGTGACAAGGAACTTGCTAAACTTGGAGGGAGAAAAAGAAAAGCCAGGTGTGAGCATGAGAGGTCAGTATTCCTGGTTGGTCATTCTGGGGGAGGTTCAGAGCAGCACATGCCGTTGCCTTGAGAGCTTGGGTTGCCTCTCTGATGCCAGAAAAATGGTACAGAACACACACCAAAGTTTCATGTAGAGCATTATCCTCTTCTATTAAAATCTGTGATCAAAACTTTCTTTAATCAGAGGCATCAGCTCTTTTTTATGCACCTATGAGGATTCTGAATAAAAGTTTGACCATTACAGACAGCTACTTTTGCTGTGACTGAGCAAACTGGGAGGGGTGAAAAAGGTTTACCCTCACAGACCACACCACCCATATCTAATGTTCCAGCAGAACCTGTGGGTTGCATTTGGGAAATAAAAGTTCCCTCTGAAAACCCATGAGAGAAGAAAAGATGATCTCTTCCTTCCTAAAGGAAGGAAGGATTGTGTTCTTCTCTGCCATTTTTTTGTTACATGTTTGGGCAGTAGGGAGGTCAAATTGGACTGTGAAACCTTGCTTTGGAATCAAGATATTTGTCTAATTTGCTTGCCCTTGAAGAAATCAGGCTGCTGCAGCTTCATTGCCATGGGAACCCCTAGTTACTATATTTAATTCAGTCCAGGGCTTGCTTGTCTATTCAGTTGTTGCAGTGTAGACAGGTGATAAACAATATATCGATACTGAGCGGTATCGTACCTAAATGATTAGGCATGGATATTACTCTCATATTGCAGCATCTGTGGTATTGCTCTTGTGTTCTGCTATGAGCTGCTTGGCCCTCCTGTGCCTGCTCCAGCCTCTTCTTCCTCTCTCCAGCTGGAGAAAAGACAGTGCTGCCTGAATAGATTTTCTGGTCCTGAATAGATTTTCTGGTCCAGTGATCAACAAAGGCAGGGACTGCAAGCGACCTCTGCTTGTTGGTCGTGCTTTTTCTCCCCCAGCAGAGCAGCCAGCCATGGAGTGCCTGTGGGCCTTGGAAGAAATGGTGCTGGAGAAGGGAGCTCTGCACCCCTGGAAGTTGTAGGGCTGGGACAGGTCCCAGTGACTCTGCAGCATCCTCAATGGTGTGAAGACCCAGAAGGTCGTATTGAATTGGGAGCAGGGAGATAGAGGGTGTACCGGCACAGACACTCCTATCACCTCTTCTTCTGAAGTTTTACTAATTCTCTTAGACTTGGTAAAACTTTTTTCCCCTCCTTTTCCCCCCTCCCTATTAGTGTAATGTAAGATTTGTCTATAGCAATGCAGAGCCTGAGATGCACTCAGTTCCAGTGCCAATAGAAGTGGTGGAAATGTGCTTTACTACAGTCACACAGGGGGAACTTCTGGAAAGACTCATTAGAGGCAGGGCTTAGCCAAGAAAAGGTATTTCGTGTGGCTGATGGCAGGAAATGCAATTTTGTAGGTCTGTCATGATTATTTCAGTTGGTTTATAATGTTTTGCTCCTCTGCAGTTTGGTTTAGTGATACTACATCACTTTGCACAGAATTCAGAGTAAGGAAAGAGTGTGTAAACCTTTATGTTAAAATGTTGGCTGAGTATTGATTAATCAGTAAAAGATTTGAAGCTGTTTCCTTTAAATTCCAGGTCCATGCATCTTAATTTAACAGGCTGGAAAGATATTGCTTTACCCAAGGAAATACATTTTCTGTGATATTTGTTCACTGCAAGTATATTGAAGCAAAAAGAGATATTTTAGAGAAGGAGATAGTTCTCTGTGGTCACCATCTGCTAAAATTATTTTTTACTTCTTTCTAGGTATTATATTGGTCGCCAGATGTTTGTGGTGGTCTCCTCACCAGAGATGATCAAGCAAATCTTAGTGGCAGATTTTAGTAACTTCACCAACAGAACTGTAAGTACCTATAAAAGTTGGCTTTGTGGATGAAGTTGGTAGCACTGCAAATTCCAGCTCAGACCAAAAGTGGCTACAAGGAGGCTGGAGATAGAGGCAAAATTGCACATGGTTCAATGAGACCTTAAGATATATACATTCAGTCAAAGATTCTTGTTACCAGAACACTCTGAGGATGAGAGGGAATGTCCTTAGAAGAGTCACAATGTCCTTGTGACTGAAGCACCAGATGAATGTTGAAGAGAGGGTTTCAATATCCAGTTTTGCCACTGTTCCTGAGAAATCTTGGGGAAATCACTTACTAGCTCTCTTCCCCAGTTCTCAACCTGTGACATGGAGATGGTATTATTTGCTTTCTCCCACACAGGATCTGTTTTGTGCTTTTAGACTTTAGGGCAGGAGCAGTCTGCCTGGGACCAGGACATGCCTCCCACAGCTATTGTGTATTAGTCATACCTGAAAATAATAAATAACAAAGAAGGAAGTTGGAGTTAGCAAGAACTTGTACATATGCTCTTGGTTACACTTGGAAAGCTCATTTTCAGGAGGTGGTTAGAACAAGTAATGAGGGTGAATGGCCAGAGTTCCAGCAGTTGCCCAGCATTTTACAAGGAAATACTGCCACTGTGTGCTGCCTCAGTCCCATCCATTCCCTGCTTCCCTCTGGGCCCTTCGTACACTCAAACCTGCTCAGACAAACTCACATGTATTCAGGAGGGTTTTTTGCGCCCTTGGAGAACATTTTTTTTCTCTGATCAGCTGTCTGTCTCCTCTGCCCCTCTGATCCTCTCTGCAACCAGTCAGTCTGTTTGCAACTGCTTGTCACCTTTGCTTGCTTCTTTTGGTACATGAGTTTCATCTTGTGACTGCCTATATCTAACTGAATAACTACTCCATTCTGCCCATAGCTCACACTTAAAAGGAAGAATCTATTTTTAGACTTCTTAGACTGAAGTCCTTATATGTGACAAGGGGCTTTCCCCCATTTTCTCTATCTTTGAAGAAATTTTCCATCCCATCCCTTCTTCCACCCCAAGCAGGAACCCTATTTCTTCCTGTCTGTAACTTTCCTGTGCTTTTCTTCTTGATATTTGGTAGTAATAGACTGTACCCACTACACCTAGCAGTAACTGGTGATCAAATAATATTTCCCTGAAACTAGAAATCTTTCCTTTGAGGGGACACTCAGATTTCTGAGTGTCTGTTGTTCTGAGTGTCTGTTGTCTGTTGTTCTGCTCTTAACTTTAGTCAGCCTGGTCGTTTGGATATGTCTTTCTCTGTATTGTCACACTTCTCAGTTAGTGAAATTTTTCCTCCTCTCCAGGCCTTTTGTGTTCAGAGGTTTCTCTCTCTTTCTTGTTGTTGTGTGTCACCTGTCATGGTCTGTCTGTAACATTTGTGTTCCTCTCTAAAATTCGGGTAGGTTATGTCACTGTAGGTCCTCTTTCCCTCTCTCTCCTTTTTTTGTTCTTCATTAGATCTGTTAGCTAGAGCTGTCTCTGCAGGTTCACATCTTGCCCTCATCACTTGACTGTCCCCTGAATCATTTGTGGCTTTTCTGTGCAATGTCCTCCTTTATTGATGAGGAGTGGAGACACAGAGTGACATCCCTGCCACTAACCAGAAACCCTACATCAGATGAGACAATTTAACTCCTAGCTCTCACTTTAGCAAAATTAACAGTTTTCCCCCTGTGCAGGGTTGCTAAATCTGTCTTGCTTAATGCCTATGAGTCTAAGTCAAATGATCTTCCTTCATCTTATATGCTCTCATCTGCTTGTTCTATGGTCTTCTCACATAGCCACAATCTTTGATAGTTTCTCACTTTGCACTTTGTCCTCCCCTCTTCCAGTCATTGCTTTTCACTTATTGAAAATAAGGAGCCATCTGTTTCTGTGTCTTTCCATATCTAACCTGGGGATCTTTCCTCTTCTGGAGTTTTCACACAGGAAGCTGTTTCCTCTTTAATTTGCAGTCAGGTCTCCTGGGGAAGTATTTGGTTATCCTGTACACTAGTAATCCTACATGAATATAAATAATGCTGGGTAGTACGTAAGGAAGGCCAATGGAATTTATTCAGATGTGATTTGGGTTGTATGCAAATAATGATTGAAAGGTGAGAGTTAGAAAAGCACTTTCCAAGTAATAGAATTCTTTCTTATCACATTGACTGAATAAATGTCATTTTAAGACTTTTAATAGGGTTGCTTCTGTTTGTATATTTTAAAATTATTCAAAGCAAGCTCATCTACTTTGAGTGAAGGTTTCTATTTGCTAGTGGAGAATTCAAAATGCTAAAAATATCCCCCTGCTTTATTTTATGAACTCTTTTCCCAGTGAAGAGTGGTTATAGAACTAGCTTTGGAGTCAGTGCTGTTCACAAAACTAGGCCAATATATTCCAGCCCAGACATAGCGCTTGCTTATTATTTCAGCCCAAAGTCTTTTAGTCTGAGAGTATGGGAAAGCAGGTGAGACCACTGGGTTTGAACAGGTCTTCAGAAAACACACTTGTGCTTTTCTTTTCCCACCTCCCCATATGCATTTCCAAAATCAAGCTTTGTACTTCATCCACCAGAGTGAAATGTGAGTTATCTAACCTAGAATGCCTCAAAGAGAGATTTTTCTCTCTGTAGCAGTTGTAGCAACTGTATGTTAACAAATTATCACTGAGTTTCAGGTTGCCCAGGACTGATTCTAAGAGCTAAGTGTAGAAAAACTTCTTTTTCCTGTTTATTTTGTCACTTTTTAAATTAATTGTAAAATACATACATATTTGATTAAGAAACAATGAGAAACTTGTGAAGGGCTGAAAACAGTGGATTTATTGGTAGAAGCCAGTAGGATGATGATGATTCAGTGCATTCTGACAGCTTTTATTAAAGCTCTCCATAATGTGATGTCATGCCTTTGAGTGCTCGTCAGCAGGATGCCCTTAATCTGGGATTGTGCACCTGTGGACTCCCTTATGGGAAGCCATCAGAAGGCCCTTATGGATTGAGAGTGGTTTTAATCTGCTGAGAAGATTCTTTTGGAAGCATCTTGTGTCCTGTCTCTGCATCCTGAAAGACCTAGACCATTTGTGCACTTCTCACACATTAAACCTCTCTGCTCACTCATTATATAGACAAAGTAGATCTTGCATTGAACACAAGCTAAACTACTCTTCATTTTATGTTTCCCTCTGATACTATATATTTCACATCTTTCCTATGGCTACCTTTTGAAAATTACTATAAAAGTCTTTTATATTCCCCCATCATCTTCTCTTGTTTCTGAATTACTGGTTGATAATTCTTGCAAAAGAAGTGTTCGGTGACTGCAGATCAAATCTGCATTAAGGTTCTCTTCCTTTTAGAGCAAGTAACCAAGTCTAGCACACAGGCTGTTACTGCCTTGTAGGCACAGGGTATGTGTATTGTGAACTGTATAATCACAGGAAGGCAATAATGACACTCTGCTTTCCCATTTAATTTAGTCTCAATTAACATAATTGTTAGAACCATTCAAAACCAAAAGCGTCTGCTGTAATATACCTTCATACTTGAGGCATATGAAGCCTTTTTCCCATGTTTTTAATTATAGTTGAAGAAGAAAATATGAAAATTACTTTATATACCTTCTGTCAAAAAATATGGAATTAATTTTAATTTAGGTTAACCATGGAAACCTCAGCCAGCATTTAGGCAAGGCTGTGCTGGAGTAAATGATACCTTTTTCTCACAACTGTGTTGTCTCTTGAATAGAAGCTTCCTTTTAAGAGCACTAAGACCATTTTTAACTTCATTACTGTGTTGCAAGTGAGATAGGATTATGATGTTTGTTGCATTCTTCCAGGTGGGATAATGATACATAATCTGTTTTCAGATTGTTTTTAATTCTGCATCGAAAATTTGTTTTTCAATTAGTAATTGAGAATCATTAAAATGCACTTTTAAAAATGTAGGAGCAGAATGTTAAGATGGAACAATGTGAAGAGAAACATTACCTGGGCCATAATTGAAATAATTCAGATGGCTGTAAAATATTTCCTAGAAATGTGGATTCAGTGAGCCCTGAGGCAAAGGTAGGTGCTGGCTAGCCAAGGTTTGCCAGGAGTTGGTGCTCTGCCAGAATTCATGTGTCTGTCACAAGTGGAAGCTATTGGTTGATTCAGACCAAATCCTTAAATCTACCTGCCAACCAGCTGGGGGAGAGTGACATTTTTAAATTCAAAAATCTACACCAGTTCCAGTCGCTCTAAGAAAACATCTCCCTCGTCTCATCAGAAGCTTTCCTGCTGCATTGGTAAAAATAGTAATGGATTAACAGCAAACAATAATGAAGTGGTAAAAATAAGAATAAAAAAGTACCAGGAGAATATGATACAAAATCCTTGCATCGCTTTTGAAGGAAATTAGAGTTGCTTGAGCTTCTTTTCTTTTTGCTTATCTAGTCTTTCTCTTCATCTTTGAGTTGATCCACATAAGATCTGATTATTCTTTTCACATATATAATTTGTCTTTTACACTAAGCTGTTTCATCATCATCTATATTTTGGTAAACCTATAAAGCTTCAGGCCTACTTAGAGCATTAAACAAATAAAATGCAACCACCAAGTAGGAAGGAACCTATTTTCTGCATTTTGTTCAGTTGTGGTCCAGGATGCCTGACATATTCGTGAACTGGCTGTTCTTTCTGGTCTCTTGCTGGAGGAAAGAAAACTGGATATTACTGTATCCAAAGTTCTATCTAAATTTGATACAAGATGCCCTCCAGAGATCCCTTCTGAACTCAGCCATCCTGTGATTCTGTGAATTGGGTCAGAACCTCAGTCAGCAGAAATCAACATATTAACTTTAAATGACTCTGCAGTGATTGATGATGGTGAAGTGTCTCCAGAGCAGGACTGGGATGTTAGAACTGGCTTCAAACAGCTCAGCTCAGGAGCTGGCTGGTGTGTTCTCCACCTTTTGCAAGTAAAGCATCACATGCATGTCATGTGCAAGATCTTTCTTGCT